GTTTCCCAGCTCCACCCAGTTACTGTGGCTGTAAAAGTCCTGAAAATGCAGAAAAACGGATTGATGATTGATTGATTGATTTGATTTTTATTCATGTTTGAACGTGTATGAGACTATGTATAATCAACGTCTGTTGTCCTAACAGTTTATCTCTTCGCGTTATTGTCTTAACACCACATCTTTACACGTAGAGCAAAAGGTGTGAACTATCAACAGAATTTGCTCGGCCTCGTCACCTGCAGTGTGTGAAGAACTCTGCCCAGTGTTTCTCTGGCAGCCTGGAAGTGCTGATGGCGAACGTTGGCTTTGATGGACGCCATGCCCTCCGTGATCAGGGCACGCCCCTCCAGGAAGGTCTCGGAGTTGAAGTGATGTGGATCACTTTTGGAATTTCCCAAATGGTAGCAGACAGTTACTTTATAATTCACTCTACTCCATCATTGTCTCACTTTTTCAATAACAACAATTTATAGTGTTTTGACGTTCCGCCAACCTGTTGACAAAGTCTTTGTCCACCAGTCCATTCTGGGTGTAGATTTGTTGAAGAGCAGTATGGAACTTTGCGCCTGACACCTGTCCTGTTGCTGTAGGTCCAAGACAGGCCTGGACTAGCTCCTCGGGAGAGCTACCCTGTGGGCAGTGAAGAAGGTTCACGTTAGGATCGACACCTCTCAGACTGGTAACAACCAGAACTACAGCTTGGGTTGTTCACTGTTTGTTTGTTTTTGTTTTTTTTATGCAATAGTGAGAACAATTAAAATCTCCTTTTTCCCTGTGTGTATTTCTTTAATTGCTGCAAAACTAGGCCTTGTGTTCAGCTAAACAGGTCTGTGTCTATTTGGTGGTGTGACTCATCTATCAATCTTTGTGTGCGTGTCTGGTCTTTTTTCATCATCGGATACTTACAGTGGTTATGAAGTCGTAACCGTTCTGTTGAGCAACTGCCTTACAAGCCTCTGCTACTTTTTGCAGCAAGGCTGTTCCTGTAATGCTAACGTGATTTGAAATCCCAGCACCGATGGGGACAAAGGCCACAGAGGGGGTTGTGATAAGGGCCAAGCCCAACAAGGCCAAGCCCAGCACTGGAGCCATCATTTTATCTGAAAAACCAAACACACCCAAAATCCATCGAGATTAGTGATTATGTTCGAAGAAGTGTGGTTATATACTGATGATGGATAAGTGATTTATTGCTTTTCTTGACTTATTTTTCTAAAACACACATGCTGAAAGAACCAAAGATAAAGTTCACTCAAACAAGACATTTGTTGCACTCGAAGCACTTTTTCCAGTAACAGTTTGCACAACACCAATACTTGAACGAAAAGCCTCTGTGTTTGTGACTCCACAAACCACTGAGCAATGAGTATAGAAATAAAATGAAAAAAAAACCCCGAAAAGAACAACATTTCAATTTTAAATTAATCAATGAATTTTAGGCAGTTGAACATATGATATGCCAGCACATATTTGTTTACATCTTTGGATTTAAGAGATTAGGTTGGATTAGAGGGAAAACTGTTTTATTATTATTATTATTATTATTATTATTATTATTTGCTAATAGAGATTTAATAGTAGCTATTACAACAAATAAAAACAAAGTATAAAAATGTATTTTACATACTTTCATATATTTTAAAATTATATATTAACATTCATATATTTATTTCTAAGTATATGAATATCTATTACTAATTTAAAAATTTGCATTTCAATTTTTCATGAATATAATGAATATCTTTAACATTCGACTATATATATATATATATAAATCTTAAAATGTCACAATGTTGTCACTTTTCCCCTGTAAGAAAAAAAATAAATACAAAATTTGATTTGGGGTATGACAAAATGTTTTGTTTAAATATTTCATTTTCAGAAATATTTAAACAAAGGAAGTCGGTCTTTAAATGTCTTACAAATACTACTAACAATTTTTTTGGTCTAATAAATTATCAGAAGTTATCCTAGTAACAAAGTACATTTAAAGGAAAGCCCTACAGTACCTTGATGATCCTCTACTCTGTCGACTCCAGTGAAACAGAACTTCAGCGTACCTCTATCCTCTACATATGTAGGACCACACTCATGGTGGGCGGGGTCTTGTGTTGTTACTTAATGTGTGTGTGTGAACAAACCTGACGCACCTATACGTAAGAGTAACAGTAAGTGAATGTCAAAGTGCGAGTGATGCTCCCCTTTTTACTGCCATTCTGTCATCTGTCATGCACCTAAATATGCTTCAGGTGTCTCCCTCATAAAGGTGAGGCAGCTTGTCATCATAGAACTGGTCCGCCATTGGAGATCAACACTATCATCAAGGCTTATCTGAAATATTCCTGTTTTACAGATTACTTTCTGAAGAAGTGTTAAAGGGTAGTGCCGATGTCATGTAATTGTGACAAAAAATATTTCGAGACTATAGGTGGGTACGGTAGCCAATAATTGTACTCAAGTAAAAGTACTGTTACTTCAGAATAATATTACTCAAGTAGAAGTAAAAGGTAGTCATCCAAATAATTACTTGCGTAAGAGTAAAAAAAGTACTTGGTCAAAAAACTACTCAAGTACTGAGTTACTGTTGAGTAACAGCTGATTTATTTTTAATGAACATTCAATCAGATAGACAAAATTACAGAGAGGAGAGTTTATCCTATCAATAAAATAATAAAATAAAAACTTCCAAATTAATTAACAATGATTTATGTTTAATTAATAAGTTAAAATAAAATAATGTTTAGGTAAATTCAAGTACTTCAATAAAAAATTCAAATCAATGAAATATGGTACATACAAATTAAATATAGTTTCTTCATAAATCTACTCGAGTAAAAGTAAAAAGTACAGTGATTTAAAACTCCCAGAATTATTTTGTTTGAAAAACTTACTCAAGTAAATGTAACGGAGTAAATGTAACTTGTTACTACACCACTGTTTAAGACTTTGTTGACATTAATGAAAAATGAAAGGTTATCATGACCGATTAGTGACACAGATGCCGGCAAATTGTTTATGTGATACGTGTCAAACTCAAGGCCCGGGGGCCAAATACGGCCCGCCAAGCCATTTTGTGTGGCCTGCGAGAGCTTAAAAAGCATTTAGTAAAGTCCACACAGCAGAGATACTTAACCTATGAAATTACGTTACGTTAATTACGTTTTTTTTTATTACACAGCAATTAACAATATTTTTAGTTTGAATAAATAATAATCAATTGCAGAAACTGGTATTAGTCTGTTATGGAGTAGTTTTTTGGTCCCAAGGTGCTGAGCATTGAAGGATCAATATTATATTATATATATATTTTTCAAAATAAAACTTCTTTTAGACTCTATTCTATCAGAGTCTGAATGCTGTTTATATTAAAATATTGCCAAATCATCTTAAATGTAAAGTAAATGGATATGGTGGATTTTCTTTGTATGAAGTAAATCAGTAAAAATGACATTCACAACTGACACTTCAAGGGGAAGGGGATTGCTGATGTGGCCCCTGGTGAAAATGAGTTTGACACCCCTGGTCTACATCATTGTCTGAGTTATGGTGATACAGCGCATCGTCATGAAAACACACACACAGCAAACTCTGAAGCGTCAGATGGAACTAGTTGACACATGTCACAGGCTGTTGCATGTTGATCTAACAGATTAACGTTTCTCACACATATGCCTGCCTCTCTTCTATTTCCTCATAGTGTCTCTCACCAGTCAGGTTTGCAGCTTTCCTGCTCTCCTTTTCATTCGGACAATGTCAGTGTTTGTTTTCTTTTTTTGGTGAATGGGTGTGTCTGTTGTAAGGTAGGTGTCTTCATAATCAGAAGAAAGTGACAGGATTGGAGCGATGAGTGTCAGTGCGCTATTTGTGAATAAGGGCACAACAGGAGCAACGATACAAAAACATCCCTCCATTTTTCTTTGAGTCTCTTCCTCGTGAATTTCACCGCACCTTCAGGTAAGTTGGACCTGTTTTATCGGCTTTGTACGTTGCACGTTGACATTGTTCTGCATGTGCTGTAGAGTTATTTCTGGGAAACAGGTATTTTATTACATGAGGGCTCTTATGTATCTTGTTGAAACATCTGAAAATACAACACCAGCGCTGTAGATTATTCCCAATTGCAATTCCATCAAAATGCTATTGATTTATTTATATATAGTTTTATACAAAATGCTGCCATGTTAGTACTGATGGCTACTTTTATTTTATTGTGTTGTATATGAACTAGTTGGTTTCTATGTTGTTATTAAAAAATTCCAAATTCTTGTTTAAGCATGTACTGGGTGTGTACAGATATTATCAGGGTATTCCTGATATTATTGGACAACTACAGTGAGAACAGCTTTTACAACCTCACGTTTGTTTTACTGCACATGGAAAAAGTATGAAAATCGTACAGTACAGGTTTTATCAAAATGAGTTATAGTCCTGTTGCACAACCAAGTTTAAAAAAAAAAGTACTGTATGTTCATCATAAAACGTTGAAACTGCCTTTACTTTAAGATTAGGCCGATGCTACCAGGTAGACTCGTTTTTCTTGTTCACACAGCTGATTGCCTGGCCAATAAAGAAACACCACTTAGACAGCTACGTAAATGCACCACTGATGTAGTAAAAAACAAAACAAAGAAAAGAAAACCCATCAAAGACATTGCATTGAAACATTACTATCACAAATCATGTTTGTTTGTGTGTTTTCACGAAGGCATTTACTCATGTCTGTGTCTAAGGAAACTCATATCACTGTTTAATCACGAAGGCATTTACTCATGTCTGTGTTCATGTGAGAACACGGCGAAGATTAAAAACAAAAGGTCCAATTTATTGGGAAACGCGAGAAGATAAGGAATGGGATTGGAATGCTGACAGTGACTCTTACCAAGACCATGTCATGTGTTTTTTTTTTCATTAAATTGGCAATAATTTACAAAAACAACATCAAACAGGATCTAAAACTAGCGATTTTGCAGTCTGTATTGTAAATTCAATGGGATTCAAACTAGTAACTTCAAGGCCTCATAATTAACATAACATAATTTTCACTAAACTTCCATTTGTATAAGAGACATTTCTAGTTCAAAGTTTGCTTGAATTCCTCATATCGATTTTATCGGGCACACACACACACACACAAAAGACTCACGCGACCAAATTACCACTAATTAGCTTAACGCTAACGTTGACTATACAGCTGCGCGCTTAACGCACTTAGTGACATCTAAGTTTCACATTTTCATTTGAGTAAGACAAACAAATTCAGTTTCTCAGTGAAAAAAAAAATCATAAAGAGCATTCAACCACGTTCACTACATGGCCCAAAAGGAAGTGTATCTTAATTATTTAATCTCATTGTGGATTAAAAACCTGTATCTTCACTATGATGTGTAATAATGATGTGTAATCCAAGCCATGGCAGGATGTGAGAATATTGTTTAAAAAGATAAGTGTTTTTTTTGCTGAAGATTGTACGCAGTTGTTCGCTGAAAAACGGATATCACAATCTGTGGTCGGTCACATTAGGACATCTTGTCTGACAGACCTGTTACTTATCTTCAGGTAACTGTGATGAATGTGCAAAATGTGATACGTAGATTTCCGGAGTTTAAGATACTGTATGTGCTGCTGGCAAGTGTATAAATTTCCTGGCAGCATCATGTCATGTAGTCACGGGGTCTCGTTAGTGCTCGAGAACATGGTTAGGGAACTTATAGTGTTGTTGCTGAATAAATCTTCAAAACTGAAACTGTCATTTTTGATTGTGTGATTTTGTTTTTTGACTGCAGAAAGGAAGTGGTGGTTTATCACTCATCGACAGGAAGAGGTAGGAGAAACAAAACACGTAATACACATACATACCCTCTCCGTATCGCGGTTCTTCGTGCACAGCACACTATTGGCTAATACAAAGTGTACTCGGTGTACTATTGGCTAATTGAGCGTGCACTTCTGTTCCTCGCGCTGATTAGCTCATGCATCGTAGCATCTCTCATTCACTTCACTCTGCGTCGCCATTCTACAACTCTGTCCATATAATTGTGTTAAATGGTAATACAGTCTAGGGAGGGTTGATAACAGTGAGGGGGAGGTTCGTAAAGGGTAAATAAATACATAAATAATACAATAACCATCTCGCCTCTACTTGGTTATTTTTCCCATTTTGCAGTGGGTCTGGGAACGCAACTACTGAGATAGGAGAAGGACCACTGTATCGCTTAAAAAGGCAGAAAAAAAAGAAAATATATTATAATACACATAGTCTATAGAGACTGATCACACATACGGTACTTCTGTGTGCCATACATTTAGTAACATATCTAAAGAAAAATGAAAATCAAGATAGATAAAAAGAAATCTAAAAGGGAGGATGTGATGTAACTAATGAAGCTAAATAAAATGAAACAGAAAGGATTGTAGAGAATGTATCACAAAAAGCTCAGTCACAAGTCACACACTGATAAAATAAGTATAAAATACTGAATGTTATGGTTTAAAATTGACAACATAAAAATAATCTGCAAACAATAATATGAAGGTGTTATTTTGTATTTTGAAAGAACCAATGGCGAACGGCAGCACCTCCGAAGACTTCTGCTCTATTCTCAAGGACATGAGAGAAAACAACGAAACCAGCAACAAAGAAGTCAATATGGTCGTGGTCATCGTCCATGGTTTTTTCTCCTGCTTTGGGATTTTAGAGAACATTCTCATCCTCTGGATGGTTGGTTTCCGCCTACAGCACAAAACTGTAGCCTCTGTTTGGGTGCTCAACCTTGCGTTCTCTGACTTCCTAGCCACCCTGACCCTCCCCCTCTTCACCCTGTACCTCTACCAGTCACAGAGCTGGGAGGTTGGCGACATACTGTGCAAGATTCAGACATCCATCTTCTTCGCTAACATGTTCGTGTCAGCCTTCCTCCTGGCAGCCATTTCCCTGGACCGCTTAATTCTGGTGGTCAAACCATTTTGGAGCAAGGAACATCGTACGGTGCTTGGAGCGTGGAAGTTGTGTGCACTCGGTTGGCTATGGGCTGCAATCAACACGGTGCCTTATACCGTCTTCCGCTCCGTCATAAAGAGAAAGGACGGGAGAAATATGTGCTACCACAACTTTGCTTTGCTTTCTTCCTCTCGAGCCACGGTCGAGAGAAACTGTAAGGTGAGACAGGAAGCGACAGCTATATCCAAGCTGCTGCTGGCTTTCCTCTGCCCTTTGGGGGTGATTGTTGGAAGCTACATCCAAATAAGTCTCCGCCTGATGGATAGAAACCGGAGGAGGAGAAGGCAGACCAGTTTCGTTCTACCAAATCCCAGACCTCCAAATACATCTCTCACTACCAGAATCAATAGCATTCTCTTCAAGCAGACGGCTTCCAACGATCCTGTAAATTTGAGCTCCAACACTCCAATCAACTCTAGTCAGATCAATGAGAAACAGCTTTCCCCGTGCTTCATTAGAATGGTGACATTCCTGATAGCGGCGTTCATCCTGTGCTGGGGGCCCTATCATATTTTTTGCATCTTGGAAGTGGTAGCACATTATCACATTCCCACTCGTTATGCAGTGGAGAAGTGGCTTCCGATAGCTACCACCATCTCGTTCCTGAATCCAGTGCTGGATCCCATCTTGTACGTCTTCAGCTGCCCACAGTTCTGTGTGCGAGTACGTCAGAGTCTCGGAGCAGTGTTTGACACACTGGTGCGGGAAGATGATGAGATGCTTCGGCCTTTCGGAAATTCCCGCAGAGCTCACAGGTGGCAGCAAAGCTTTCAGCGTGTCGAACCTGAAGTACCCATGTAAGGCATCGGCTCCACCCCATCAATCACATGACATCCAGTAAAATCTTATACCTACCTTTGGACGATGAAGGTATTGAAGAGTGATCCCAACCCAATCATGGACAAGAATCCAAAAGAGAGAGCGCTACAAAGCGCTACGTGGTTGGCGGATTACTGGTTCTAATTCAGTGGTCACCTGGTAGTTTTAGGTTTCTACCTCTATGGAGCACAGTTTTAGTTACACGTCGGCTTTGAATAGCGTTGTCTTTGTCAATGTATACAATGTAAATATGTAATAAACGCCCAGTTCAAATGAATTAAGCTGTAGGGTCAGTGTCTGCTCAATGCCAAAAATGCCCACCAGAGAGCAGTAAGGGGTTGTCTGCTTAGATCAGGATGGGATTATATTTTCAATTTTAGTCCAGGCTCTTTATTTCAATTTAAACCATAGAACGTACTGCTCCATAAGTTCCAGTGCATGGAAAGAATTGTTGTTTTGTTTTTGTTTTTTTGAAAATGTAATGCTGTTCAAACCAGGTGAAGTGCTCAGCTGTTGAAACGTACATCTCCAATATCAATCTAAAAACCCTATATGATCCTATAAGTGCATATGAAGCTTTGAAAACTTGCAGCATACTTTAAGACTTTCCTGATTCCTCCCTGCTCGTCTCCCTTTTTTCACTTTTGTTTTCACTTTGTGTTGCAACTCTGGGGTTTTTTCCCCCATCAGCAGGTTAAAGTGGAAGCTACTTTATTGTGAATTACACATGAAACATAATGTCTACTCAGACCCGTAAAAAAAGAATTACAGAAGTGAGAACAAACCTATGGCCATTTTGAAACCACAATTTGACAGAAGTTCACAAGTTGACTTTGTCATAAAGCAACAGTGAAGAAGTGAGATGTTGGTCTTCAAAAAAGCTTTTCCATCTCTGAGCCATTTCTTTCGAATGTAAATGTGGAGACAAAATGAGCAATGGTTTATTCATGAAAAGAACTCTTGCACTCACATTAACGCTGCAAGGAAAGAACTTCCTGCATGTAACTCATGTGTGCAATGCGCCTCAGAAGCGTGGAGAATTTTGATGCCGTGCCAAGGCTCTGATACAAACCTGTGGTTACAAGCTTGGCCCTAAGCACTGGATGCCACCTATTTTTATACATGTATATATGAATTTGTCTAATGACTCACAAAGAAATTACGACCCTCTTCAGTACCTCTGTGATCCCAATGGGGTCACGCTCCACTTGTTGAGGATATCTGATCGTCGTGTTTTAGTTCAGACATGTAATACCACCGAAATGAGAAAGAAATAAGAGAAGACAAGAAGACACTGTGGACAGAATCAGGGATTAAATACAGCAACGAGTACGGAGAGATGCTGAGTACTGCTGTGAGAAACAGTTGCGGGTTGAATAACAGATGCTGCAGGAAGACTTGAACCAAGTCACACACCAGTGATTTTCTGTCAGCCCATACTAACTCCGCTGTAAACTCTACCATGAAGACACACGTACAACGACAGAAAAGTACCACGAAGTAAAGAAAATAATGAAGGACTTTTCGATTAGTTATATTTTAATGTTTATTTACAGCATATAACATCAAAATGGTACTGTTTAACATTATTATTAGTCCTTTAATTCACCACATAACGTCGGTGTGTATGGAGTTTGGATGGATTCAACTTTTTACTATTCCTCAGTTGCGTTGTTAGGCCGTTTTTATGCTTTTTTTTTTTAAATCCTGTTTCGGAGACCAAAATGTTGTGTATTTTTTATATATCAGAAATTGTTTTTCAACAGTTTTTTGACTGTATGTTCAAAGTATTTTTCCACATTTTTTTCTTTTTTAAAAATTGCAACAACTGCTTTACTATACCTTCGCTGCATTAATAAAAAGTTCAAATCTATAAAATTGTCCACAGAATCTTTTGATTTGTTGGTTATTAAATAGTGGTTATGTGAAGAAGAAGAAGAAGAAGGAATCTCAGCTGACAAAAAAATAAAAGATTTATTACAGATGAATACAGTGTCAAATCAGTCACAAGGGTCTGTCTGGGGATCGCAGCCAATTTTAAGCCTCTGCAGAAGTTTGAAACAGGACATGTGGTTCATGCTGTTTATACAAACCTCTCTTGTTTCTTTTATACAAACAGAAATGCTTTTAAACATACCAAACCCACAGTTCCAGACAATATATTCGTTTTTGTATTATCATCAGATGTTGCGGCAAAACTCCCTATTTCCTTCACTAAATCACTTCAGCTCATATTTCAGTTTTCCAAAATGTGGGAGCAAAAATCTTCAAAAGCACCTAAATACTTGTTCATTCTAAATCCATGGTTCAGGGCACATTGTTTGCCCACCCGTGAAATAAAAGAAAAGGACCGAGTCCTCACGGCTGCAGCCACACCCAGATTTGGAAGTTGACCTTCATTTGATTTCAACCGTTAAGTTACATGTTGTCACCTTTCGTGGGTGAGACACAGTTACACTAATAAAATCAGCCAGACAGTAAACAAACGTGTGGAGGCCTGTCAAAATATTTTAAACTACCCTGTGATTTTTTTTCGGGAGATGTTTTGAACACACACACACACACACACTCACCACATGGGACCAGTCATGGGACAGCAATCTGTATTCTAGATAGTGTGTATTCTCCACACTAAATCTGGAAAATCCAGAAAACCTTTCCACTCAGTGGAACCCTGCAAAACGTCCCCACAAGGACACAGTGTCCCCACAACAAGTATATAACCAATGTCCCCACAAGGACAGCTCTATCAGTGACACACACAGGTATTTTGGCCTAGACGCTGCACTTACCCAGAAGCAGTTTGACCCAGAAGTTTTTCTACATAATCAGATCTTATCTAACACTAACTTAAACACGGTTCTCATTTAACAGCTTCATATAAAAACTTAGAGACTCACGTTTGTTGTGAAACAACACTGCACGTGCAGTTTTGCGTGTGTTAGAATCCGTTTCAGTTTATGGATAGTTAGAAGTTAGAATCGCTGTGTTGTGGTTGCATGAATTACACTGAGCCAAATCACTAAACACAAACCAGCGGAAGAGTTTTGATACTCACCTCCTGGGAGTTCAGGCCTGAGGATCTTGGTGAAGAAGCACACACCAGACAAGTTGGAATCAGCGGTTGGAAGAAGAAGAAGAAGAAAACTTAGCAGAGTGGGGCGGCTGTCAACCCTTCACCTGATCATCCGCTGGTCTTGCGTGTGTATCAGTGCCTCACCGTTCTGTCACGACGCGTGCAGCTGTGCAGGGAGATGCATGTATTTTTAAAGGAAGGGGGAGTGAATGTGGTTACACAAAAGCAAAAGCGAGCCAGGGGTGTAGCCAGTGATCAGAGTTATGGGTGGGCCTGTTGTACATCAGCCACCATCTGGTTTTTACTTAATTTAAAAAAAAAAAAAGGAACTGCTTCAGACAGTGCTGTCTTTTGGATGCAGCGCTGCAACTCCACTGTGAAAACTCACAGGTCACGAGCAGTGGCCGTGGACACGCACCTGAAGGTGACAAGCGCGCACGAACCCTAAGTGTATTTTAGGCTAATCCTATATGACACGCAGATATAATACTTAAGTAAAAGCACACAGAGAGGACAAGTAAATCAACATTCATGACTGTAGAGGCAGGGATCAAGTGGTGTAAGTGTGAGATTAACCAGGATCACTTTCATCTGTCAGCCGTCCTTCCTTCTGGCAATCCCTTCATACATGGACAGATGACGTGCCGCAGCAGCTGGCTCTCAGGGTTTAACCATATGTATAGCAATAGTTATAGTTTTAGTTCATTTGTGTATTGATTTAATAAACACACGTTTTAAATAGTTAAGAATGTGGAGTCATTTCACTTTGCGTATAGCTATCTTTAATAGCTACGTGATTCTCTAGTTTTCTTTCGATTTCTGTTTGTGGGTGTTGATTGCTAGTTTTTTTTTTGTATTTTCCATCCATCCATCCATCCATTTTCATCCACTTATCCGTTACCGGGTCGCGGGGGCAGCAGTCTTCACCCAAATCACACTGCACCGTACCAACCCCCCTGAACCTTCCTGCAGGATTCGATCTTGCCCAGGAGGTGAACCCTGGGGTTCCACACCAATGACAGAGACATGGCCTCTGGACCAAAGCACCTGTTTTTGTTTGTTTGTTTGTTTTTTCCATTCGGCTCGGGAAGAGTAAAAATATTTGGGAGTGATTATGTTGCGGTTTTTAGGGGAATTGATTGTGCCTTTACTTTGTAAGCATGAGTGTAATGGCATTTTAATAGCAATGTTTGTTGTACTGGTACTGTATTATATACATGGTCAACACTCTACAGCAGTGTTTCACGAACTTGTTTTGGGGGGACCCATATTTTAAAAGTCGCAAACCTTCACGACCCAAGTCAATAGACGTTATTCGTAAACTCCTGGGAAACATGAAGCAAGATGACCCCCCAAAAAAATCTCTTGAGACCCAGTCTTTGGGAAACAATGCTCTACAGAACCCATTCCTACTGGGGACACCAGGACCCATTCACGTATCCCCATTCACTCCACCTCTCACTTGAGACCACAGGTGAGATAACAGGTTATGCAGCCAACTCTGGGGTTAACTCAGGGTAGAGGACGCGTCTGCGCGAGCTGCGAACCTTTAACACCACGCAACAGTCATGATTGTGCTTGGAACGCAAGCTCAGGCTTGATCACCCTGTAGCTAGGTAGCCGCCTTTGATAAGAGTGTATAGTGTAAGGTACACTACTGATGACGTGTCATCCCAAATTGTATACCCTTTGAATGGCTGTGATATAACTCCCACGCCATTCTCAACATCAAGTTCAACCTCATGGCAGTACCATCTATTGGCACAACGGACAGTTTACCATCTCTCCCCGGGTTTTTATGTTAAAAGACCCGCGGATGCTAATGATGACGTTGATTTCAGAATACGTATATATGCTCACCTGGTCGGAGTGTACTCCTGTTTAGGTTACTTGTTATTATATTTGTTATCTGCTAATGCTTTTAGCTACTTTCTAGCCATCTGTCTTAACGTTTCCGTTATCCGAGTTCTGCGATCTCAATGGAAACTTCCTGGTTAAATTAATCCGAGCTGTTCCTAATCCAGGACTGCGCAACCTTCAACAACAACAGCACGACCTTTTTTTTTTTTTTTATCATTTTACTACGAAATATAAATCACACACTTAACATTTCAACCGTTTACATGAGAGCAGTGTTGCAGTGTTTGAAGATTTACCAACTGCAGTTACACCCTATAACCAGAGTTATCCCTCAGGTTTATTAGTTATAGCTGCTCTACATCTACAAGTAGCCACATGCAGGCGACGATCTATCTAGATATTCAGTATGACACACAATTACCCGCAATACAGCTGGAGCCGTTTGGAAAGCATTTATTTATTTTTAGATAGAGAACAGAACAACATATTTAGAAACTTCTGCGTGACATAAAATAGGTTTAAACACGTTTTTTTTTTGCCGTTTTTTTTTTAACTAGTCACAGCCTTGTCCTCAACAGGACCAGTGACTACTGGCAGTCCAGGATACAGTGCCACTTACGGGAAATACCTGTCTCTTCGATGCACAAGTATAAGTGTTGTTCCATGGCAGAAAAGTGCGTCAAGTTATGTAAGAAAATAAGACCGAAATTTTAATTTAAGGAAATTATTTTGTTGTGTTTCCATCAGAGAATTCCCTTCAGTAAAACTCTGGGTCGTTTCTTTCACACGTGGTCACAACCTGTTTTTATGCCTCGTCCAAGGATTGCAATCAAGCTCCTCTCAAATGTTTCATATTTTATGAAAATTCTGAGGTTTGCCCTAAAACCAACACAGAGGTGATGTGATTTGTCAAAGCAGTATCCTTAATGACACAGGGTCACAGTAGATCAGACCTTAACTCGTATCGAAGGCTTCAAGGCGTGGTTATCGGATGCAGCTTGCAGTGTTTGTTCATGTTGTTTTGGTCAATACATACTGTAAATACTATATATACACACACACACACACTGATGGTTAATAATAATACCGATACAGCTACTGCTGCACTTTCATTTCTCGTACGCCAGAGACTTTATTAGTAAGGAGGTGTGGAAGCCAAAGTTCCAATGACCATAAAGAGGAAGGATTAGAAAATGTTGCAAAAGTAGGAAAATTACAAGATTTCAGTTTACTTCTGATTGTGCTGTAGTAGATTTTTTTTTTTTTTTTTTTTTTTTTTGGGGACACAACCCCTTTCCCAGGACCCCCTGTAGCCCTTTTCCCCAGCTGCACCCATCACACCTCAAAAATTCTCGTACGCTATTATTTTTCCATTACAGTTCCTGTCTCTCCTGTTTTTCATTTTGAGGAAAAACATCTTATAAGGACATCCTATGCCCCGGGCAGAGTTTCACATCGACGTAAAATTCGCACACACCGTCTGTTCACATACATGCAGCATTAGATCAAATGAGGGGGCGTCTGAAACCATGTTTTTTTTTTTTATATATAGGGCACAGATTTTATATTACTTAAATACCCCACTGTTAATCTGTAACTGTAAAACACAACACAAGTGCAGAACTAACTGGAATTTACTAAATCACAAATACTTTTAGTACTTGTAATTCTATTGCTTCGAGTACCTCAGTGGCCTTTGTGTCAGATAAAAGAAAGAAAACAGGAGGGAACTGAAAGTTAAAGAAAACATGAAAGAAAACAGGAGGGAACTGAAAGTTATTCTTAGGGATGTCCGATATTAACTTTTCACTTCACAATATAACCCTTATTTCCCACTATCAATATTAACCAATAACAATACAGCAGGGAAGTAGTTTTAGCCCAAAACTATTACATATACTATCACAGGTATTGCATCATCAGAAAAACATTTAAAAAAAAAATCAATAACGATTCTTACAGCCATTACATAAATATGCTAATATCTGTCCGATAATATTGATCGCCAACATTATCAGACATCCCTAGATATTCTGAAAGTTGCATATTGTATAACTTACTTCATTAAAAAATGACCCCTAAAACTGCAAGATCAATGGTCCATTACCAAAATGGAAATGATCAAAAATAACATGAACTATAAATTCAACTTTTTACCCAGGTTCAGGGCCAGGGCCAGACTGTGGACCTTAGCTGCCATATGGTAAGTGAAATAAACAATACTTTTAAGTAAAGAGGATTTAGGACAAGCCACCATCAGCGTCAGAATAGATGAGTACAGAGAGAAAGCCGGAGAATAAAGGACAAAGAGGAACAGAGTGATGGGAGGGTGAAATATATGAACAGGATTACAGGTGATGTCACAGCATGAAGAAAAAAAAACCCTGCTGGACAAAATATGTGTAAATAATTCATCATAACAGCAATTCTCATAGTTTTTTGTACTTGAAATAAGAGTGAAGAGGGAGACAGAAATGCATAGATTTCAGGATGGAGTGAGATTATAATCTGTGCAAAAGTGTGTGAATGAGCACGTGAGCCACTAATTCCTACAGCAACAGGTCAGAGGATGAAAAATGTGAATGATGGCTGTTGAGCGAGGAGCAGAGATGAAAGGAGTTGGATGAGAGGAATTCATTGGATGAGAGAGGGAGGGGCAACAACAACTACAGTAGTGGACGTGCCTCAGATTGTCCTTCGGCGTCAGATGCTCCGGGAACGATTGAGAGGAGGAAGACGAGGAAGAGGACCAGGAGTAGACAAGAGGGACACTGCACTCGGAAGGACAGACGGAGACCCAGGACAGGAGACGTGAATGAAACCTGCACTGAAAACATGACTGATGTGAATAACGTATCGCCTGAGGAGGCGCCAGAGGAGAAGCTAACAAAAAAGGTCAGTGGTTGCATATTTCAAAGATAAATAGTTTTCATTATGGAAATCAAACGAGATCACGGTAGTGAGAGCTGCTATGATCTACGCTTTAGACACAACGGTTCTGCCTAAAGTACAGAAGCCTTACAGGATTGCAAACGAGCAAATCAGAGGAACGGCCGAGCATCACGTAGTGGAAAATAAGTTGATATAAACTTCATAAAAGAAATACTAGAGCAGCATCATATAGAGAGCTATAGTACAGGGGCTCGGTTTACGATGTCCTCAACCTACACGTTTCATTGTTAGGTTACCATGTACCATAAATTTGTTAAGAAAATCTGGTTCTATAATCCGACAACCGATGTTAAAATAAATTTTGATTGCAAAACCTCAAGTGATTGAGTCATTGATTCCAAGTCATCATTTGGAATCCAATCATTATTT